GCGCACGATTGGCCGTCTGGACGTCACAAACCTATCGGGCCAAACAGGTTCTGTCTCCAATATCTTGGAATATTGCATAACTTCGGAAAGTGACGGAAAGCTCGAAATGCTGTGTCCACTTTGCTTGGCCACTTCTGACTCAAAATTTTTGTAAGCCTTATAGACCAGACCTTGCTGGTACAAGGGCACCCTTAACGCCAGTTGAAATAATTCCCGCTTTTTTTCTTCATTTGAACATAGCTCAATAACTTTTAACCATAAAGAGGCACTGTACGGATCAAGGCCAACTGCACGAATAGCCTCTAAGGATATCTCATCCGTCACGGAAATTTCCTTTTTCTCCGCGTATTCAAAATATGAAAGCCAGGTTTCTTGATAAACCGCACTTTCAACCATTTTCGCTATACAATCCCCTTGTTCTTCATCGGTAAGTTTAGATACCCAACGTGCGCTTATTGCAGAAGAAGGATTTGATCGAATATACTCACTAAGAAACAAAGGACAGTTATCATCGCTATACAACTCCATAGCTAAACGTGTAGTTAAAAAAAAATAAATAATAATCTCCCCTTCAAAAAATATCCAAAAATTGGTAGGTAAAAGTGAGTAACAAGAGTCAATAATAATAATAATAATAACAGCAAGAACAAAAACTCCGTGATGAGACGGCCCAAAATGCAAATTTAGATAGAAATCAAAACACATCCATATAAGAACTAAAAAAACCAAGCTTCTCTCAGAGGCCATGATATGGGTTCTTGTTGCAGGAAAAATAGGCTGCGGGTCCGCCGTATACCCAAGCCTCTAACTGGATGCGTTGAGAATAATTCCGAATAACTCGCCGGCATTCAGCATCGGGACGAATCACTGGAGGCGCCACATGTTCGTTTTTCCCACGTCGCTGATAGTTCATAAAATGATACAAGAAGAAATAAACCTGTTTCTCTAATAATGTCAAATGAACCCTTCGCTATAATAATAATAATAATAACAGTAACGATACAAATGGAAGTAACAAAACAAGAAAAAAAAATGTCACTATAAAAAAAGCGATGCATTTTTACCGAAACAATATCAAATACATACCAATAAATACCAAAATAAAATGGAAACAAATCAAGGCAATTTTTTTTTTTTTTGAATCACCCCCAAATCCCGGTACTCAAACACTGTTATCTTATTTATAAAAGGAAAAACATCAAAAACAGACCAAATAAAAATTCCTATGCTAAAAAAAAAAGTACCTAGTAAGTATACTCTTTTCCGGTGTAACCCGCCCAGCATTCCCATTCCTTAAGACCACAATCGCGATTCAAACCATTATTACCCCATCCAAAAAGGAAGCCTCCACCGGGGTAACGACGATGACGAATGCGAGCAAACGGATTGTCGGGGCCCTTGTATGTAATGTAGTGATGCGAATGGTAAAGCTTTTGGTACATGATCCAAATAACAGCGAGCAATCCAACTCCTGCAATACGCGCACTTGAACGAAGACCACCCATATGGATGGGATTAAAAAGGGGATCGTCCGGCATCGGCAGCCGTCCTGTTCTGCAAGAAGCCATTGTAGCTTATCAATTCTGTCAATATTTTTTTCGACAAAAAAGTAATCCCCCCCCGAAAAAAAAAAAAAAAAAAAAAAAAAAAAAAAAAAAAAAAAAAAAAAGAACATATGTATAAAAGGGCAAATATACGTTTTTTCGGACATTTTTTTTAGTGTGTGTATAGGTAATAAATCATTACACACGTAGAATACAAGAAAAATAATCAAATTTGGATAAGGGTTTACAATTAATTATTTCCATTATCATTTTGCCCTAAAGGAAATACTTCAGTAATATCATCTACTACAGGATCCATACTATCCCATATTTCATCACCAAGTACAGCGGATTTACTCGGTTGCTTGTTGTTTGCAATACCACTGAAAGCTCCCGTGTTGTCTGCAAGCGGCAACTGCCTATCAAAAAGTATACTTGACACCTTTTGCTTGGCATACATTGTCAGCAAAAGCCTTCCAGTGGGAACATGATATATTCTCGCTTTGCGATCCAACCCCGCAACGCCAAGAAGCTGGTGACCGGCTGGATGCTTTGCCATGCTCCGCACGCTTCCAACACCACCTCGCAGCTTTGCTCTAGATGCAAAACCACGTCTTGTGTCATACAAATGTATATCCCCACTCGCCTCTCCTATGAGAAATTTATTGCAATTCCACTGCATTAGCGTCGTCGGTCTACGGTCAATTTCACGGTTAATCTCGTATTCTTGTACCGGTCTCTCACTGCTTCTACGATCGTAGAAGCAAACTTGATGATAAGCTGTTGTTGTACAGAATACAAAGGGATTGATAATACATGTTCCGGTCACGTATACAGGATATGGAACATCCAACACGTGATCCCTCATATTTTTCGCCCTAAACACGGGGACTGAAACCTCTTGTGCAGAAACATCATACACACAAAGCGCATTATCTTTGCCACCCATAGAGAACATACCAAATTTTCGATGAATATGAAACGCCTCAACTGGACCATTACATTCAAAGATTTTCTTTTCTTCAAATGACGCATCCGCAATTAATACTTTACCATCTTTAGAAGCCATGACAAAATTCTCCTTCAAAAAAATAAGGCTGTTAGGTAAACCTGCAACAAATCCCAGTTTTTTAGACAGCAACAAACTACGCTCTTCTAAGTCCAACACCGACACAATTCCATCATTCATAGAAAAAACAACTTTCGTCATCGAGCTATCCAGCCAACACATACCAGCAATTCCCCTCTTCCTGCTTTGCTCTCCGTAGGAAAATGCAAGAGTGGCTCCTGTGCTCCTTGAAATATTCCACACTTTAACCAATCCTGTATCATCCCCTGTAATACACGCCATGCCTTAAATTCAGTAAAAAAATTGGGAAATAGCAATAGCAAAAATAAGTACAAAGGCAAAAAACAAAACATATATATGAAAAAAAAAAAAAAAAAATCACGCCACTCTCATAAGGTTGATCTCTCGACCAAAACATCAAAATATTTATGACAATTAAATAAGATAGTTTATGGACGAGCGACATCAAAGTACCTTTCGAGTTCCTTTTCACTAATATCAATCAGAATTGCTGCCTCTAAATGCAGTTTTTGTCGTTCCAAAACATCTAAAAGCATGCTTTGCTTCCTCACACAGTTCAGTAATTCATCCTTTTCAGCAACAAGCTTATTCAAATTAGACTGCAATTGAAGAAAAACATCTCCTTGAGATGAATTCTCCGTCTCTCCCACACCACCTAGCTTCGACTTTAAAAAAGCAATCTCTCGAAGAGCACTCTCTAGCCTTTTCTCCGATAATTCGCTAACGCCTGACTGAACTTTACGTTGAAGCAATAAAATTTCCTTTCTTTGCGTGGCAACTATGCTTTCTAACATGCTTAATTTCTCTTCCATCACCCTCTTACTACTCACTTCCGCTTCTAATTCTTTTTTCAAGGTCAACAATTGTTTCCCAAGTTTTTCCGAATCTTCCTGATAATTTTTAAGAGCCGACTCCAAATCACATTTTTCGGAAGTTGCATCGAGCGAAAAATCTTTGCCCCCCTTATCATCCCTCAGGCTTTTCGCAGTCGTTATAAACGGGGAATTGGTTCTCATATCTTTTCCAGAGCAAAGCGCAGATCTCACCTCTGAACGATGAATTGCACCGTTGGAGTCATTAGCCAATAAGCAATTTTTCAACCGGTTCAACTTTGAATTCCCACCATTCAAATTACCACTATCATCACTTTGGGAAATACTCATATAAAACAATTCTTCTTTGTTTTTTTCTAAAGAAAAAAACAAGCCAAATCACAGAAAGAAAAAAAGAAACAAAAAAATAAACAAAAAAAACAAGAGTAGAAACCACTATACCAGTCATAATCCCGATCGAGATAAAGATCTTTAGAAATAAAAAAAAGTGCTACGGCATGCACATGAGCCGAATAATATATACTGCCTACAAATCTTGAAACGAGAAAAGGAGTCGCTTGCTCATGATTCTTCATGCCAAAGGAAGGGCATTCAGAAAGTAACAAATAAGGAGGATTTTACATTTACAATACGGCGGTAGAAAAATAAGAAAGCACATGTACCACGACTCTCGGCAACTCGGCCGGCGTCGCCCACCGCCGTTCCTAGAGAACGTGTTTTCCGCGAGTCGCCCGCAATAAGGGAAAAATGGGCACCCCACGCCCGAGACGCCACCAACGCCGACCGCCGAAATCGCACCACCCGCGACCCGCCTTATTTCGATGTCAGGCTGCCGCGGGTTTCCGGCAGGGTAGGGGTGTCCGCAGCACCGGGCGGGCGCGGCTGAGGAGGGGTTCCTGCGTTGCGGCGTTGCTTTTGCGATTTTGAAAATTGTGTGTTGGTTGTTTTAAAAAAAAGGTTGATCAACATTCATATTTTAGGTCCCAATAAAAGAGATATAGGGTTCTCCCTTCCGTTCCTTAAAAAATGGAGTTGAGAGTTATGACGACCCTTTAGCTATAGAGTGAGTTATAATATTTTGTATGTTCTTGATTTTAAATATGCCTTTATAAAAGCTCGGTTGTAATCGCAGGGATTTGCGTTTTCCTTTCTCAACATTATTCATGACGCGTAATAAGGGTATTTCTTTTTGTTGAATGGAATCATACAACCTTTATTTTACTTGTTGTAGGGAAAATTTAGGGGTACCACTCTAAACTTCGTTTTAACTGGGCATATAGTTTTTGAGGGGGTTAGGATGGTAACTAGCCATTTTGATGTGATGGTGTTAATAAACGTTTTTTCTTACGGACGTGTCTGATGTATTGCAGCTGTTCTTTTTTCCTCCATTCTTGAACAGACACGAAGAAGGAAAGAAGGCAAACAAGCGCTAATCGCTACTGTGAAATTCGAAGACACTGAAAGGACCAACAGCACACACACCGCCCACACACACATATTTATATGCTCTCACGTGTTGCTGCAGTCAAGGCACCCCGCACACACAACCGTCGCCGTGTGACCGGATCCAGCGGAAGGAGGAGGGGAGGAGGAGAGAGTGAGCCGCAGAGGTCCAACATGTCCCGGCATCTTTTTTATTCTGCCGTTCTGGTGCTTTTTGTGTTGGTTTGCTGCGGCAGTGGGGCTGCACACGCTGTGGGGAGTGTGTCATGGTGTGTGCGGCTGCTGCAATGTGCCGAAATTTTTGTGCTGCAGGAGACGCCGGTGAAACCAAAAGATGGGTCTGAAAATAAACTGAAGGATTCTTTTGCTTCACCCTCTCTCGTCAGTGCTGGTGGGGTAATGACTGTGCTTGCTGAGGGTACTTTGGCGCGTTGCCCAACAAAACAGGTTTATCCAGCTGACTTTGTTGCGGGGTACGCCAACCATGCGTGGGGTTTGTCTTCTCTTGTCGCTGAGGCCATTAAGGATACGTAGAGGGCGCACACGGTGTTGAGTACAGTGAATGAAACGGGACGTGTGGGTGTTGCGCGCCAACCCACAGCCACTGCGAAGGACAAGAGGGCGTTTCCACTTGTGGGAATCCATGAATAAAAGTATTACGATGCTAAGAAGAGTTGGAACGTAATTGACTCAGATATTCGACTGGTTGTGGGTGAGACCACTCGTTCCGGGGACGGCGAGCCGAGTGAACCGATCAACTGGGGTGAACCCAAATTGCTGTTAAAAAGAGGATTCCACGGACTAAAAGAGAAGCGAAGGAGCGTTTCCCCACTGCTGGCGCCGGTGGTTTCATGGAGGATGGCATGCTTGTGTT